AACTTGTTATTTTACCATTACACAATCAAGGTAGAAAACAGTTCAATCGGAGTGTTAAGCCTTGTAGCCGTTTATTAACGTTAACTGTGAATAATTCAATACAGCAGCTTGAAATGAGCTTTTAATTATTTTTCCCCCACGACCTTTTGCACTCCCCTATGGGGGGTAGGGGGGATAGCCCCCTTACCCCACCCCTCCACCTATGCCTCTGACTTTCACACATAAATACACACTGTCACATACACACTGTTGAAAAATACACATACACACACTCTCACGCATGCAAAAGCTAAGAAGAATAAATGGGGCACCTACACTCATTCTCTTTTGTCTTCTCATTATATAACGCTACTCAAAAATGATGACGTCATATTACTTTAACCAATTTGTACCCCAACTCTCTTTCCTTCCCTGTGGCGTCATTTAAAAAAAAATATCCCATAAATTCATCACCTACGACACAGCAAGTGTCAGACGGCTGCTGTTATGCAACCACCGATTCACACACCCCTCCCTACCGTGCGCCAGTCTAGCACACGACACCGCTAATCTAGCGCACAACTCACCACGCGTTTTCTAGGCCGTCAAGTCTGTCCCAACGTAAACACACAATGTCGTAAACTGTAAACATGTACGTTTTCGTTTTTAATTCGGCTTATTCTTCTCTTCTGTGTCATCCTGATTAAACTAAACCTACATTCATAACGTTGCTCGTCTACAACTAAAGGTACTTTTTTTTTTACCATAACAGGTGATTGATTTAGATAAATTATTTAGGTCATGAAGGTTACGATGCTCCGTGCTACAACACACTTCACACTTCACAGTTCACACACACACAGCTTAATTTTTCAGCAGAAAAAATATAAAAATACATTTTGTTTTACTTTTCGTTTCTTAAAATGCAGAATGTTAAATAGCATGTTGGTTCTGCATGAGTTACGACACAAAGCGTGTAGGCTTGCAGCTGCGACATGTTCACAACAGTACATTAATAGCTTACAACACAGGCAAGCAGATAAAGTAAAAACGGGGTCATGGAATAAAATAACAGTACAACTTTCATTACGCCTTGTCGACAGCTTAGAAACACTAACTGGCCGACGCATGCTCAAGAGAAACGGGTGAGTTCAGTCTGTTATTTTGTGTGTTGTTATTCTTTACCGGGTCTGTTTCCAATATGCAGGCGTTCACTGTACAAAAGAAAGAAATCGATAATACGTTTTTTTTTTGTTTATTTGAATAATAATGATAAAAAAAAATGTTTACTGTAGTTTTTAGGCGCAATTCATGCGAAACTGGCAACAAGCGGACATCAACTAGAGCTAGAATAGTCTCGAAATGAGTCGAAAGGACTATTAAATATTTTTAAAATCCCTTACACTTTGCTATAATGATAACAACGATGGTTCTAAAACTTAACTCAGTACTGCTTGGTTTTTATCAGACTTTACCTAAAAAAGAAAAATGAATGTTTTTAGTATTTTCGGTAACTAAACAAAATTCGTTAAAAGCCAAAAACAATATGGTTGTTTTCATGTAGGCAAAATTAACACAAAAATTATGTAGATTATTTTCATAACTGATTTATATTGGACGAGCCGACCCGCAGCGTATCATACGCCGCTATTTAGTTGTTTTATTTTCTACTTTTCAGTAATTCATAATTTGTGAATTCGACAGTACCAATGCTGCCACTGAAAATATTTGCTTTAAAACGCTACCCCCCCCCCTTTCCCCTAACCCCGACCCTACATCCCCCCCCCCCCCCCCCGTGAAAGCGACCTCCTCTTAGTTATTTTTTAGTTGACTCCTGTAAGTTTAAAATCAAACTAAATTATCTGTCCCTAATAGAAACCCGGCTCTACGGCTCTACGATTTGTAAACATTTAGCTTTGTAAACATTTAGCGTGACCACAGCTCACCAGACAATGTGGGGGTGGGGTGGGGGTGGTAGTGATATTGATAGAGAGAAAGAGAGGGGACTGCAAGGAGGCGCTTGCAGCTTGTTTTCTAACGGCTCCCAGAAGAGAATTATACATTAGAAGATATAATTTTTTTTCTTTGAAACCATGATGTGCCGCACCATGCGTTCTTAATCACGCAGGTCTTCTTCGTTCTTAATTTTAATGCTGGAGACAGGGGCGTAGCGAGGGGGGGGGGGGGGGGGTCGGGGGTGCGGACCGCACCGGGTGACACCATTTAGGGGGGGGGGGTGGCACCAAGGCGAAAAATAGCAAAATACTAAGTCGTGAGTGCCCCAAAAGCGAAGCGCATTGAACTATTGCCGATGATTGTTTAGGTCAAGGTGGGGTTGTCACGTGTCTGGAACACGTGACTCGGGTAAAACAAAAATACAGGAAATATGCCAGGAAATATCCAGAGACCAACTTTACGGATTAGAACGTTAGGCTGACTTCAAGGATTAGAACGATAGACCGACTTTAGGGTTTAGACTAATATATTTACTAGGGGGGTTATCTTAATTGACTTACTAGAGGGATTAACGTGATAGACCTACTAGAGTTACTAGAGGGATTAGGGTGATAGATCTACTAGAGGGATTAGAGTGATAGATCTACTAAAGGGATTAGGGTGTTACATCTTCTAGATGGGTTACGGTGATAGATAAAGAGGGATTACAGTGATAGATTTTGTGTATGGGCCTAGATAAGTTCTAGGTAAGCCTACAATCTTGCGAGTGCCTTCTTACCAGGCCCAAGCTAAATTTTACATTGTAAGCTAACTACAAAATTAATGATTGCTACAATGGTATTCATCTATCTGATCATTAATATGATAGACCTACGGACATTAAAAATATACTTCTGCGTGAATTACGTCATCGATTTGTGTTATCTTTTTGTGTTGTAGTTGCGTGATTATTATTTTTATTTCCACTTTGCTCGAGTTTTATATTTTAAACAATCATCAGATCTCAACTGGGTAAACTTCCTTTAATATAGATCTACGATCTGTTCAGAAATCTAAACAGAGCCTAGATCATAACGATCTTTTTTTTTCAAACAGACAGCGGTATGGACAAAAATGATGACTGTGCCGTGTCGGAAAAAGCAACACTACTTCACTGCCCAGCGAAGAACGGTGCTCTTACACAACAAAGTGTGCCGGGAGCTGGTGATGTGACTTCCGGTGATACACGGCACAGTGCTGTTCAGAAGGATGGTCTGGCGGTACACAAGGATGGGGTAGACGAGGATGGTGATGAAGAATACGACGCTCCTGATGGCGGATGGGGTTGGATGGTTTGTTTTGGTATTAGCTGTTGTAATGACTTTCTAGATATGATGTGTTAACTGTCGGAAATGTTGATTTAGAGGTCGTCCATAAATGACGTCACACTCTACTCTTAGTATTAGGGGGAGGGGGGGTCCGCATTTTTGTGACGGTGTGTGATGAGGGGGAGGGGGGGGTGTAGATGGTGTGACGTCACACTTTTGCATAATTTAAAAAAAAAAAGCAATGCTAGAAAACTAATTTTAGCCCTTATTTCGCGTTTTAGAAAACGGTTTTAATAAATTGAAATAGGAATTGATTAAAATACTCTATGTTGACAGAGTGCAGACGAGATTTTGGAAAAAAATACAGTATTTTAACTTCAATTTTGAGCGGGGTTCTAGGCTGAGACGTGACGTCATTTTAGGTGGGGGGGGGGGGGGTCTGACTTTTTGTGACGATGTGTGACGGAGGGGAGGGGGGAGGTAAAAATCGTCCAAAAAAGCGTGACATCATTTATGGATGGCCCCTTATCCGAGTTTTCCCCGAACACTTTGCTATTAGCTACTAGATCTGGATCGAGCATTGCTAGGTCTTTGCCCTGCTGAAGTATTGTCAGCCAAGTTTAGTTCCGCTACCGAGCTGGCTTTACATGTGCCTATACTGATGACATCTGCTTCAGGTGATCAGTAGGAACGACCAGAATTTCTTTTAGGTATCTCAGTTTCTCCCCCCCCCCCCCAAACTGAACAAAAAAAAATTAAATAGCAGGTATATACTTTTACTTTGTTCGCCTCCCCCCCAACCCGGATAATTTTATTTAGTTCGCCTCCCAGAAAATCTCACCCCCCCCCCCCCCCCCCCCCACTATCGAAAATTTCAAATGCTCTCCTCCCCCGATCCTGGTCACACCTTTTACACTTTAGTTGATCTGTTTTGTGTTTGTTTTACCTAATCCCGTTGTTTGAGATAGTGTATTAGGTGGGCATAATCTATAAAATAGCTGTTCATGTAGGCCTACAGACAAGTGTTACATTGTTGCAGGATCCTTCTTTGCCATCTTCATACTCGATGGTACATCGTTTTCTTTTGGTGTTCTCATGCTGGAGTTCCTTAACGATTTTGGAGCAGATAAGTCGACAACTGCCTGGATTGGGAGTATGCAGATGGGCGTCAGCATGATGATAGGTTAGTTGGCTGATTGTAGTGGAAGTATGCAGATGGGCGTCAGCATGATAATAGGTTAGTTGGCTGATTGTAGTGGAAGCATGCAGATGGGCGTCAGCATGATGATGGGCGTCAGCATGGTGATAGGTTAGTTGGCTGATTGTAGTGGAAGTATGCAGATGGGCGTCAGCATGATGATAGGTTAGTTGGCTGATTGTAGTGGAAGTATGCAGATGGGCGTCAGCATGATGATAGGTTAGTTGGCTGATTGTAGTGGAAGTATGCAGATGGGCGTCAGCATGATGATAGGTTAGTTGGCTGATTGTAGTGGAAGTATGCAGATGGGCGTCAGCATGATGATAGGTTAGTTGGCTGATTGTAGTGGAAGTATGCAGATGGGCGTCGGCATGATGAAAGGTTAGTTGGCTGATTGTAGTGTAAGTATGTAGATGGGCGTCAGCGTAATGATGGGCGTCAGTATGATGATAGGTTAGTTGGCTGATTGTAGTGGAAGTATGCAGATGGGCGTCAGCATGATGATAGGTTAGTTGGCTGATTGTAGTGGAAGTATTCAGATGGGCGTCAGCATGATGATAGGTTAGTTGGCTGATTGTAGTGGAAGTATGCAGATGGGCGTCAGCATGATGATGGGCGTCAGCATGATGATAGGTTAGTTGGCTGATTGTAATGGAAGTATGCAGATGGGCGTCAGCATGATGATAGGTTAGTTGGCTGATTGTAGTGGAAGTATGCAGATGGGCGTCAGCATGATGATGGGCGTCAGCATGATGATAGGTTAGTTGGCTGATTGTAATGGAAGTATGCAGATGGGCGTCAGCATGATGATAGGTTAGTTGGCTGATTGTAATGGAAGTATGCAGATGGGCGTCAGCATGATGATAGGTTAGTTGGCTGATTGTAGTGGAAGTATGCAGATGGGCGTCAGCATGATGATAGGTTAGTTGGCTGATTGTAGTGGAAGTATGCAGATGGGCGTCAGCATGATGATGGGCGTCAGCATGATGATAGGTTAGTTGGCTGATTGTAGTGGAAGTATGTAGATGGGCGTCAGCATGATGATAGGTTAGTTGGCTGATTGTAATGGAAGTATGCAGATGGGCGTCAGCATGATGATAGGTTAGTTGGCTGATTGTAGTGGCAGTATGCAGATGGGCGTCAGCATGATAATAGGTTAGTTGGCTGATTGTAGTGGCAGTATGCAGATGGGCGTCAGCATGATAATAGGTTAGTTGGCTGATTGTAGTGGAAGTATGCAGATGGGCGTCAGCATGATGATGGGCGTCAGCATGATGATAGGTTAGTTGGCTGATTGTAGTGGAAGTATGCAGATGGGCGTCAGCATGATGATAGGTTAGTTGGCTGATTGTAGTGGAAGTATGCAGATGGGCGTCAGCATGATGATGGGCGTCAGCATGATGATAGGTTAGTTGGCTGATTGTAGTGGAAGTATGCAGATGGGCGTCAGCATGATGATAGGTTAGTTGGCTGATTGTAGTGGAAGCATGCAGATGGGCGTCAGCATGATGATAGGTTAGTTGGCTGATTGTAGTGGAAGTATGCAGATGGGCGTCAGCATGATGATAGGTTAGTTGGCTGATTGTAGTGGAAGTATGCAGATGGGCGTCAGCATGATGATAGGTTAGTTGGCTGATTGTAGTGGAAGTATGCAGATGGGCGTCAGCATGATGATGGGTTAGTTGGCTGATTGTAATGGAAGTATGCAGATGGGCGTCAGCATGATGATAGGTTAGTTGGCTGATTGTAGTGGAAGTATGCAGATGGGCGTCAGCATGATGATAGGTTAGTTGGCTGATTGTAGTGGAAGCATGCAGATGGGCGTCAGCATGATGATGGGTTAGTTGGCTGATTGTAGTGGAAGCATGCAGATGGGCGTCAGCATGATGATAGGTTAGTTGGCTGATTGTAGTGGAAGTATGCAGATGGGCGTCAGCATGATGATAGGTTAGTTGGCTGATTGTAATGGAAGTATGCAGATGGGCGTCAGCATGAAGATAGGTTAGTTGGCTGATTGTAGTGGAAGTATGTAGATGGGCGTCAGCATGATGATAGGTTAGTTGGCTGATTGTAGTGGAAGTATGCAGATGGGCGTCAGCATGATGATAGGTTAGTTGGCTGATTGTAGTGGAAGTATGTAGATGGGCGTCAGCATGATAATAGGTTAGTTGGCTGATTGTAGTGGAAGTATGCAGATGGGCGTCAGCATGATGATAGGTTAGTTGGCTGATTGTAGTGGAAGTATGCAGATGGGCGTCAGCATGATGATAGGTTAGTTGGCTGATTGTAGTGGAAGTATGCAGATGGGCGTCAGCATGATGATAGGTTAGTTGGCTGATTGTAGTGGAAGCATGCAGATGGGCGTCAGCATGACAGGGGCGGAACTACAGTGCCGCCAGACCCCGCAATGCGGGGGGGCCCACGCCATTTAGGGGCCCACAGCCGACCATAATAATTTTTTTTAAAGTTAAAAAAAATTAACTTTCTTGCATTTTTGACTTGATGGTTGTTTTGCAAAATAATTACCGTAGCGGCGGTTGGATTATCTTTATTCTATAGACATCACCCCAGCGCGCTTGTAGATCTATATTCTTTTTCCCTTGGTTTTTAAACCACTGTGAAAGCCGAGTCCTCTTTATCTTACAATTTAACTTAGCAAAGATAAGCAAACGTTCAAACCACTTCCATGACTTATTTCCCTTTTTTAAATAGTCAAATAGGGGTGCTCATAAGCTCCTTTTAATAGATTTGTACTAAACAAATTAAAAAGCAATTACTTCTCTTAATTATTATTTTTTTTTATAAAATACTTACTTAGGAATGACATTGTATAAAAAGAAAATGTATTTAAAATTAATAAAACAAATACCAAAAAACATAAAAATAATCATAACGCGAGACACCATTTCTTCTACAAAGCTTTCATGTTTTATATTCTTTTGGCCGACTAGAGGTTATGAGGTCTTGTGGCTTAGCACAGATAAAGTTTGCCTGATTTTCACAAAACACACGGAAGCACTTACACACATGACATGATGTTGTATCTTGTTTTAATAGAATTCTTTTTTAAAATCAAAACCCGAACAGGCCAGCAATGAGTAGCATATGGTCGTATTTTGTGTTTGTATATATATATATATATATATATATATATATATATATATATATATATATATATATATATATATATATATATATATATATATATATATATATATATATATATATATATATATATATATATACATACATATATAGGCCTATATATGTGGGGCCCAAAATTTTTTTTTGCGGGGTGGCCCTTTTTTTCTAGTTCCGCCACTGCAGCATGATGATAGGTTAGTTGGCTGATTGTAGTGGAAGTATGCAGATGGTGAACTCTACTTCCTCTAGCCTGTGGATCAACAGGTTCGAAAGGATAACTTTGCTTTTAAAGAGCGAGTCTATGATTTTGAGGATAACTTTACAACTACAGAAATAATTGTTATTCCCATTTTAAAGGCCTCAGCATTATCATGCAGAACAAAAACTTTTAATGAAATGTAGATCTAGTACTCTTGTGTTTTTAAAGAGCGAGTCTATGATTTTGAGGATAACTTTGCAACTACAGAAATAATATTGTTATTCCCATTTTGAAGGCCTCAGCATTATCATGCAGAACAAAAACTTTTTATAAAATGTAGTACTTTTGTGTAGATTTACTTGTTGGATAAAAATGACTATAAGTTCATGACTGACTTGACCTTTCTGCACTCAGGTCCTGCCATCAGTATGTTACTGAAGATGCTCAGCCTAAGGCAGGTGACCATCTTGGGTTCTCTGATATCTGCTTGTGGCTTTGTTGCCAGTGCTTTTGCTCCAAATGTTTATGTTTTAATGTTTACCTTTGGAATTATGGGGGGTAAGTTTGGCAAACTTAAACATCACTTTCTTATTGTTTTAAGTGTTTTCTTTAACTTAGAGATTTAAGATTTTCTACAAATGTTTACATTTTAATGTTTACCTATGGAATTATGGGTGATATGTTGGGGGTCATCCATAAATGACGTCACGCTTTTTTTGACGATTTTTACCTCCCCCCCTCCCCTCCGTCACACGTCGTCACAAAAAGCCAGACCCCCCCCCCCCTAAAATGACGTCACACCTCAACCTACAACCCCCCTCAAAATTGCAGTTGAATTTTTTTTAAACATCGATATTTTTCCAAAATCTTGTCTAAACTATTACAAATTATTAAAACAGTTTTCTAAAACGCGAAATACCGTCTAAAATTCGTTTTCTAACATTGCTTTTTTATAATGCAAAAATGTGACGTCGCAACATCTGACCCCCCCCCCTCCCCCTCATCACACACCGTCACAAAATTACGGACCCCCCCTCCCCCCTACGAGTGTGACGTCATTTATGGATGACCCCTTGGCAAGTGTAAACTTTATTATTCATACTATCTTGTTAAACTTTAAAGTCTTAAAGCATTAAAATCTGTTACAAATGTTTACCTATGGAACTATATGGGTGATAAGTTGGTAAATGTAAACATAACTATTATATTGTTTTGTTAAAATTAAACTTTAAAAAAAAAAGAAATTACATTTTGAGTAGTATTTCAATATGGATTCAGCATAATACTTAGGGGGAATTAAAATTTCACTAAGCTTTTTAATACTTCAACTAATTAACTATTTACCTAGTTCGGAATTTATTTAACAAATAAAGCATACTACTTGGGGGGGGGGATATTCATTGAGTTTTAAAAATCTTAAACTAATGAAACTATTTATGCAGTTATGAATATATTTTACTACTTGTCATTATGGCTAACTAATATTTCTATAAGTTTACAAGAAGTTGTTCCTAATGTATTTTTTTATTTTTGTGTATGAAGACGCCTCTATATTTTTAAAACAGCATTATATAAAATTATGCAAATAGACATGGTTTTATAATAAAAATAATAATTTATTAGCTAAGTTGATATTAGCATTATATACAATTAAGCAAATAGACAAGATTTTATTAATTAAAAACATAATTTTAGAACAGCATTATATACAATTAAGCAAATAAACATGGTTTTATAATAAAAATAATAAATTAATTGGCTAAGTTGATATTAGCATCATATACAATTATGCAAATAGACAAGATTTTGTAATTTAAAAAAATTTATTTTACGGTAAGTTGATGTTTTTTAATACCTTTAAATTTTCCAGGTATTGGCATTGGGATGGTGTTTCTACCAGCCATCATTGTGGTGGGTCTGTACTTCAATAAGAAAAGAGCTATAGCCACTGGGATAGCAACAAGCGGCTCAGGTATTACGTCTTCAGCAATCAACATCTAACTGAATGAATGTTAGGTTTCCCATTTAAAATATCTGTTAACAATACCCCCCTCCCCCCACTCCATCCCTTTTATTATGTGTAAAGAATCCTCTTTAGACCTAGCCATCCATTGGGAAGATGACGTAGAGTTCATATGTTTCTTGACCTCAGCATATGAAAGGAAGATGTGGTCAGCACTATGCCCAGCCACTTTTACTTTCCCTAACATAGTGATTTTGGTACCTATTAGAGCTGGGCGGACTAAAGGACATTCTACTGACTTGAACACGGATTCGAAATTGAGAATTTTGGGTTAGCAGTCTAACGCTCTACCACTTAGGTCACACTGTACCATGCTTATTGTTTGTGCAATGTTATTATTGGTAGTGTTATTAACATAACATATAATGAGGTTTTTTTTTTAGTTTGGTTTTTATTTAATGGCTTCTTTAATAATGAACTACTATAAGATTTTTAAAATTTTGAATTTAAATTTAGTGTCAAGGGAATTTTTTTTATTGAACAGAAGAGAAGAGTCTAACTAAGAGCCTGTGGTTCTATTTAAAAAAAAACCTACATAATTTCCAATTTTTAAAATATAGGCTATACACAAAAGTGTAAAACGGTTACTTTACACTATAGGCTTTGGAACATTTGTGTAGTGTACGCCTACATGACCCTATTGTTCAGGTTTGGGAACATTTGTGTAATGTACCCCTACATTACCCTATTCTTCAGGTTTGGGAACATTTGTGTAATGTACCCCTACATTACCCTATTCTTCAGGTTTGGGAACATTTGTGTAATGTACCCCTACATTACCCTATTGTTCAGGTTTGGGAACATTTGTGTAATGTACCCCTACATTATCCTATTGTTCAGGTTTGGGAACATTTGTGTAATGTACCCCTACATGACCCTATTGTTCAGGTTTGGGAACATTTGTGTACGCCTACATTACTGCCTGTTTCAGGTTTGGGAACGTTTGTGTACGCCTACATTACTGGCTGTTTCAGGTTTGGGAACATTTGTGTACGCCTACATTATTGCCTGTTTCAGGTTTGGGAACATTTGTGTACGCCTACATTACTGCCTGTTTCAGGTCTGGGAACATTCGTGTATGCCTACATCACTGCCTGTTTCAGGTCTGGGAACATTCGTGTATGCCTACATCACTGCCTGTTTCAGGTCTGGGAACATTCGTGTATGCCTACATCACTGCCTGTTTCAGGTCTGGGAACATTTGTCTATGCCTACATTACTGCCTGTTTCAGGTCTGGGAACATTCGTGTATGCCTACATCACTGCCTGTTTCAGGTCTGGGAACATTCGTGTATGCCTACATCACTGCCTGTTTCAGGTCTGGGAACATTCGTGTATGCCTACATTACTGCCTGTTTCAGGTCTGGGAACATTCGTGTATGCCTACATCACTGCCTGTTTCAGGTCTGGGAACATTCGTGTATGCCTACATCACCGACATGCTCCTACAGCACTACCACTGGAGGGGAACGGTGCTGATCCTTGGCGCGCTGCTACTCAACTGTATGGTCTGCGCCATGTTGTTTCGGCCATTGGTTGCGAAGAAAAGACAAGCCAAACTGGTGAGTAGATTACCTTAACTCAGTGAAAGGAAGTTACCATGGGGCAGGTGAGGTAGAGTTCACCTGTTTCATTGACCTGTCATATAAAGTAAGTAACCATGGGGCAGGTGAGGTAGAGTTCACCTGTTTTATTGACCTGTCATATAAAGTAAATAACCATTGGGCAGGTGAGGTAGAGTTCACCTGTTTCATTGACCTGTCATATAAAGTAAGTTACCATGGGGCAGGTGAGGTAGAGTTCACCTGTTTCATTGACCTGTCATATAAAGTAAGTTACCATGGGGCAGGTGAGGTAGAGTTCGAACCTGTTTCATTGACCTGTCATATAAAGTAAGTAACCACGGGGCAGGTGAGGTAGAGTTCACCTGTTTCATTGACCTGTCATATAAAGTAACCATGGGGCAGGTGAGGTAGAGTTCACCTGTTTCATTGACCTGTCATATAAAGTAAGTTACCAAGGGCAGTTGAAGTAGAGTTCACCTGTTTCTATGACCTGTCATATAAAGGGATAACCTGGTCAGCTAAAATATGGTAACGATAAGTTTTATTATTTTAAGTTTGGATGGTTGAGAAAACCAATGTCCGATAATAGACTCTTCCAAAAATAGGTGTGTTAGGATGTTAGCAGTATTGTAATCTCAACTAGTTTTTTGGCTACAAATTAGTGTTAGATGTATGGTAGGAATAGAGGGTTAGTGATAGTGTTAGCATTGATATTAGTAAGACATTTGTGTATTTAGTTAACAACCAGTAACCTAACACCCCTTTATTAAAGAAGATTCTATTATCAGACTCTGGTATAAAAAATCCCTCTTAAGTTTTTAAAATCTTATTGTTGAATTAAATTACATAGTTATAGAGTTTATGGTAAGTTTTTCCACATTTATTAAGTTTTATTTTTACTCCTCAGGTTGATTTTAAAACTTATCAAGCAGACGGCACATCTAATAGTGATACAAGTAGTTCTACAGCTTATCAGCAGCTAAACAAAGTCAGTTTACTTAAAGAAACTGCTGGTCAAACTCATAATGAAAGTCTTGGTGGAAGTGGGGATAAGGGAGGTCACTACCGTTACAATGATGACAGTAGTAACAACAAGGGCAGCTATAGTCATGAAAAAACTTCACAACAATATTCCATTCCACCTGAAAATTTAACAGAAACTGCAATTGGAGAAAGGGGACAATACTCCAGTCTGCAAGGCAGTGTTAAAAATAACATTTCTGAGGAAACAAATTATTCTGACACTTCAAATGGTGCTTCAAAACTGTACACAGAATTAAAGGAGATCACAACTCTTGATAAAATAAACAGGCATGCAGAGTCCTGTGTTAACAGTAACTGTGATATCTGTCTGGAAAAAGAAGGACAGAATAATAATAGTATTGATGCTTGTTGTCTAGAGCAAGCCAATTTCATACCAATGAAGTTGTTTAAAAACAAAATATTTGATCTTTTGTTGATAGCTTTTATCATGTGGACTGGTGAGTTCTACTTTATTTAGCAAATTTAAAATATATATTTTTGTGATATGTTCACAAATCTTTATTCTTTCTTTACAATATAAAGTATTTGTCATCATCACATTTTAACTGATATCTACTCACATCACTTCTAAATATTGTAACTAAAACAAGTTAATTAAAAAAGTCTAGTGACATTTATGCGCAATTTCCTTATGTTATCTAAAAATAGCTCTGACGTATAATGCTGGGTTGCGTTTAAGCTAGAAGAACGATCGGTTTGTAGGTGTTTATGTAATTTTAAAATTTGTGACCGAACGAGAGGATATTTTTGAAAACTTTCTTCGGCAATATTGTTCTAAATTATGGCAGGAATCGATTGGTACATGTTTCAAGTCGCTAAGTGGTCTGGTTGCCGAGTTATGGGCCAAAAACTGCATTTTTCGAGTTTTTTTGGCTTTTCCGGGAAATACATGAAAGAAACCCGGAATTTTTATGGCCTATGCTCATCCTCGTAACTTGCTTAACATAATTGCTTTTGTAACTAGTCATCGATATTGCTTCGTTGAGGAGGAGATACGACTTAAAGCCCGGACACACATCCATACATTCATCCAACCATTCCCAGAAATGACGAGTTAATAAACGCAATTCTCCAGAATGGAAATTGCGCTAAAAACATTCATTGAAAATATTGGCTTACATTAAAAATTTTAAACTAAAACTGAACTACTTTATGGAGATCCAGAAATATTAACATGCATCATGCAGGTGGAGGGGAGGGAGAGAAATATTATAAAAACTTTAAAACTAGGCATGATTTATTGATTTTCTAAGGGGAGGTGACCAAATTACTTAGATAATCATTTATGTTTTGTTTTTAAATAGGACTGATTTTTTTTTTGCACTTTAATTTTCCATAAATTCTAATAAATTCAAAGCATTATTCTTTGTATATATATTTTTTTAATCATAAAAATTAATTACAGTTACCTTTATCTAGCCCCTGACCAGTAGTATCTCCAAAAATTACAATCAGCTGTATTAATTAAAAAGCATTAGATACATATATATATAGATACATTTACTTTGTGTGAAATAATCGCTGATTAACATAATGATAAATAAATAATCACCTCAAATTTCCACAGCTCAGTCCATCTTTACGGTCAATGATTAATAAATAATCTCATCAAATTTCCACAGCCCAGTCCATCTTTATGATGTACCTCCCTGACTTTGCAGTCTCACAAGACATTGAAAGATCAGATGCTGCGTTTCTCATCTCTATAGTAGGAATCTCTAACATTATAGGACGTCTGTTAGCTGGTAAGAGAAATTTTACTTTTTGTTTAGGTGTGCATCTATTAAAAGGCAGCTTTTTTGTGTAAAGAATCAGGGGCCGTGTGGTCAAGTCGATAAAGCTCATGGATGCTAAACTGAAAAGTCTCAAGTTTAAACCCTCGGGCAGATGGGGACAGCCACTCTTCTAGGAGAGACAACTCCGAAATCAAACAACTTCTGCCTTGTAGTTTGTTCTTTCCAAAAAGAAAAGCAGGCTGAAATTGAAGTCACTGTCCTCAATGGCACATAACCAGTTCACACATATACTTAATTATGTTGGAGGAGATCCTTTCATCACTAAAATTAAGAACAAAAAGAAGAGTGTAAAGAATGTTTGATACTTAGTCAATCTAAAGATGTTATACAATTGGACATCTGTTGGATGTAAGGAAGATTTTATATTAAAATTTAGTCGTACTGAATCTGTAATATGATTGGATGTCTGTTTGGTGTGTGGTGTTTTATTTATTCAAGATGAATAAGTTATGTTATGTAATTGGATGGCTTTTTGTGATTATCATGTGTTGAGAGGTTTTATATTTAGTCAAACTAAATCTATAATTAATAAACTGCTCTTTGCCAGTAGAAAAGTTTTAATGTTTTAATTTGATACGGTTAAATCTATCATAAGACAGCACTTTCATAGTAGGTTGTTTTTTTAAGTCATGCAGAATTTAATTTAAGCTATCCTTTTTTATTTTTCCATGGTTAAAAAATTTAGTGTTTCATCCATTTTGTTCCCAGGATTTAAAAAAATGAATGTTTCATCCATTCTGTTTAGAGCATTCAGAATAATTAATGTTTGATACATTTTTGTTACCCGGGTTAAAAAAAATTGAAAGTATAATCTGTTTTGTCTCAGAGTTGAGAAAATGTAATATTCTATCTATTTTGTCCCCATTGGCTAAGAAAATGTAATGTTCCATCTGTTTTGTCCCCATTGGCTAAGAAAATGTAATGTTCCATCTGTTTTGTACCCATGGTCAAGAAAATGTAATGTTCCATCTGTTTTGTACCCATGGTCAAGAAATGTAATATTCTATCTGTTTTGTACCCATATTCAAGAAAATGTAATATTCTATCTGTTTTGTACCCATATTCAAGAAAATATAATGTTCCATCTGTTTTGTACCCATGGTCAAGAAATGTAATAATCTATCTGTTTTGTACCCATATTCAAGAAAATGTAATATTCTATCTGTTTTGTACCCATGGTCAAGAAAAAGTAATGTTCAATCTGTTTTGTACCCATGGCTAAGAAAATGTAATGTTTCATCTGTTTTGTACTCATGGTCAAGAAAAAGCAATGTTCCATCTGTTTTGTACCCATGGTCAAGAAAATGTAATGTTCCATCTGTTTTGTACCCATGGTCAAGAAAATGTAATGTTCCATCTGTTTTGTACCCATGGTCAAGAAAATGTAATATTCTATCTGTTTTGTACCCATGGTCAAGAAAATGTAATGTTCCATCTTTTTTGCTCACAGGGTTTGTCACAGACTGCTGTCATGTGCCCAGTATTGGATTGTATAGTGTGGCCCTTCTCTCCGCAGCCTGTGTGATTCTAGCCGTCCCATTCTGTACCACACTGCCGTTGATACAGGCCTGCAGTGGCTTTTTTGGGCTTTGTATGGGTCAGTTATAGCATATTTTACAGTATGTGTATGGGTCAGTTATAGCATATTTTACAGTATGTGTATGGGTTAGTTATAGCATATTTTACAGTATGTGTATGGGTCAGTTATAGCATATTTTACAGTATGTGTATGGGTCAGTTATAGCATATTTTACAGTATGTGTATGGGTTAGTTATAGCATATTTTACAGTATGTGTATGGGTCAGTTATAGCATATTTTACAGTATGTGTATGGGTTAGTTATAGCATATTTTACAGTATGTGTATGGGTCAGTTATAGCATATTTTACAGTATGTGTATGGGTCAGTTATAGCATATCACCTTTGACAGTATGTGTATGGGTCAGTTATAGCATATCACCTTTTACAGTATGTGTATGGGTCAGTTATAGCATATCACCTTTTACAGTATGTGTATGGGTCAGTTATAGCATATCACCTTTTACAGTATGTGTATGGGTCAGTTATAGCATATTTTACAGTATGTGTATGGGTCAGTTATAGCATATCACCTTTTACAGTATGTGTATGGGTCAGTTATAGCATATCACCTTTTACAGTATGTGTATGGGTCAGTTATAGCATATTTTACAGTATGTGTATGGGTCAGTTATAGCATATCACCTTTTACAGTATGTGTATGGGTCAGTTATAGCATATCACCTTTTACAGTATGAGTATGGGTTAGTTATATTATATTATCTAGTTACAGTATGTGTGTCAGTTATGTAGTATTGTCTACTCATCGTATGTGTATGGGTTGTTATATCACATTGTCTAGTTACAGTATGTGTGTAAGTTATGATATATTGTCTAGTGCTTGTATGTGTATGGGTTACACATTGCCTAGTTATAGTATGTGTGTCAGTTATGTTATATTGTCTATTTATCGTATTTGTATGTGTTAATTATATCACATAATCGAGTTTCAGTATGTGTGTCAGTTTTGCTATATTGTCTAATTATCATTTGTGTATGTGTTAGGTATATTACATTGTTTAATGATACCTTAATAAGGAGATATTTTTTATTACTTGTCAGTTAATGACACCTTAATAAGATGATAATCTTTTACTTATCAGTTAATGATACCCTAATAAGGAGATAATCTGTTACTTGTCATTAATGATACCCTAATAAGGAGATAATCTTACTTGTCAGTTAATGATACCTTAATTAGGAGATAATCTGTTGCTTGTCAGTTAATGAGACCTTAATTAGGAGATAATCTGTTACTTGTCATTAACGATACCTTAATAATGAGATAATCTGTTACATGCCAGTTAATGATATGGAGATAATCTGTTGCTTGTCAGTTAATGACACCTTAATAAGGAGATAATCTTTTACTTGTCAGTTAATGAGTCCTTAATTAGGAGATAATCTGTTACTTGTCATTAACGATACCTTAATAATGAGATAATCTGTTACTTGTCATTAACGATACCTTAATAATGAGATAATCTGTTACATGCCAGTTAATGATATGGAGATAATCTGTTCCTTATCAGTCAGTGATACCCTAAAAATGAGATAATCTATTACTTGTCATTAATGATACCCTAACAAAGACCACTTGTATCCCTATAGCCGTTGCTGTGTCACTGAGGACTGTAGTACTAGCTGAACAACTAGGGATCCACGCCCTGACTGAGTCCTTTGGCGTTGTAGCCCTGTTTCAGGGAATTGCCTTTGTTGTTAACCCTCCCATAGCAGGTACCTACATTGTTTGACAGTTGTGATAAAATTAGCCAGTTTAACCACTTAACATGCCTCTCTTTGGATTTAGGGAATAGTCTTCATAGTTAACCCAGATTTAGCAGGTAGCTACATTGTTTGATATTTGTGCCTATTGAACCAGTTTAACGACTTAAAATGTGGTGCTGTTGCTTTAAATTCAGGGAATAGTCTTCATAGTTAACCCACATATATATAGCAGGTAGCTACATTGTTTGACATTTGTGATACTATTAATTAGTTTAACTACTTAAAATGTGGTGCTGTTGTCTTTGAATTCAGGGAATAGTCTTCATAGAGCACCCTGACATAGCTGCTAGCAACATTGTTTGATATTTGTGACAATTGAACCAGTTTAACTACTTATTAAAATGTGGCACTCTCTGCCTGTCTGACTATGAACCTCAGCTAAGTTTGTTTTTGGCCAGATCATTAGTCCACATTATAGACCAGTTTACTTGGATGTTCTCCTTACTTTGTAAATAGATATATCAATACTCTGGCAACTGATATGACAGTTTAACATAAATTAAGTAATCAATTTTTAAGTGAATCTGTAGAAATAATATTTCCACAGGTCATACCAAAAACAAAAAGAACATCTTAACCAATAAATAAGTAGGCCCACTAAATTGACATTTTATTACTTTTAAAAAAAATAGGGGAGTAATTAAAATAGGGCCAGTGGTTCTATTTGTTCATGGCATCAATTTTTAGTTTGTTATATACATATTTATAATAAGAAAGGAAACGACTATTGAGCCATTGCATTTATGGAGAAGGGAATAGAACTATTAAGCCATTGCATTTGTGGTTAAGTTTTTTAATCCAACATAAAAGTATTTTATCCATTTGTTGAAAGTAGCCAATAAGCTTATTCCACTGGCATGAGCCATAAGTATATTGATGTTAATTTCCCCCCCTCCCTCCAATCTTCAAATGTTGACTTTTCCCCCATATATCCCTCTGTGTCAACATAATAAATGGGTAACACTTTACTTAAAAGTTTGTTTACTTATCCTTATTAGAAAATCATAAACAAATAAACTATTTTTTTTTATCTCCTAGGTAAACTGCTTGATGAGTTCCACTCATTTAAGCCACCTTTTATCATGGCAGCCAGCATGTATGTTGTATCTGGCATGGCCTCCTTGTGTGTTGGTAGTCTGAACAGGAAACACTCTAGAAACATTCCACTGAAAGAGGAGACGATTGTTGTCATGGAAAAACAATGAGGAATTTACATGATGGAAAGAGTAGTAAACAACAGACTGACCTGGTTTCTAGAATCGAACAATCTACTAGCAGACGAACAGGCAGGCTTCAGGAAGTGCAGATCTACTGAAGACCAAATCACCTTCATTTCTCAGGAAATAGAAGATGGCTTTCAAGAAAAAAAACCAACCTCAATAGTGTGGGTCGACTTTGAAAAAGCCTTTGACAAGGTTTGGGAGCAAGGCTTAATTCTAAAGCTAATAAACCATCAAGTATCTCATAACATGCTAAACTGGATAAAAGGTTACCTAAGCAACCGAAAAGCATCAGTCTCCATGCAAGGAAAAAGAAGTCACACAGTAACTATAAAAAATGGAGTCCCTCAAGGAGGAGTCTTGTCTCCTACTCTCTTCCTCATTTATATAAATGACTTAAATGAAAACATCCCAAAGAGAGTAAAAAGAAGCATGTTTGCAGACGACCTTTCACTAATCAGCACAGAGGAATATATTGGTACCTCAAAATTTCGTCTTCAAGAAACACTTGATAAGCTCGGCAAATGGACCAAAAACTGGGGCTTATCCATCAATATCAAGAAAACAACTTATTCAATCTTCACCTTATCAACTAAACATCAAAAAATGAAACTTACCCTAGAAAACCAAGAGCTAGAAAAAAATGACCACCCCAAATACCTAGGAGTCACTTTTGACACTCGACTTACCTGGAGAAAACAAATAGAAAACACACAAAGTAATGGTATCAAAAGACTTAATCTAATGAGGAAACTGGCAGGAACAGACTGGGGAGCAAATCACCACATCCTGAAAAAAACCTACACCAGCTATGTGAGACCTACGTTAGAATATGGTGCTTCGGCTTGGGGCTCAGCAGCAAAAACAAATATTAGCAAAATTGACAAAGTTCAGAACATAGGTTTGAGAATAATGACAGGAGCCATGAAAACAACACCCATAAATGCTATGGAGGAAATAGCCGCTCTTAGCTCAATAGAAGAAAGAAGAGAATCAAAAATCCTCACTCATTACACAAAGCTAGAGGCACTGGAAAACCATAACCTAAAACAAAAACTCCAGAAACCCAGTCCATCAACCAGACTACAAAGAACAAGTTTCATCAAAGAAGCAAAGAATCTGAAAAAGAAATATGAAATCGAAAATATCATTCCTGAAGCAATAAAAACTCAAAACCTCTCCCCGCCTTGGATCTCCCACTGTCACTTAACCATTATTGACTCAATAGACACCATAGGAAAAAAATCTGACTATGATCTAGAAGAACTTAAGAAAATAACAAATAAACACATTAAGGATCAGTACCCCAGCAATACCTGGATTAGAGTTTTCACAGATGGCTCAGCTGAAGATGCCACAAAAAACGGCGGGGCTGGCATCCTTATTGAATGGCCAAGCGGAAAAAGCCTGGAAAAGGCAATAGCCACAGGCAGCCTATCCGACAATTTTAGGGCAGAAAAAGAAGCTTTAGAACACGCAGCAAACCTCCTGTCAGAACATCCTGAATCACCGAATAGTCAGATTGTATTTCTTACAGATGCCAAATCAGTCCTGCAGTCCCTACAAAATCCGGAGGCCTATATTCAAACACTCATGACAGCACTAGAGAGGCTAAAAAATACCTGCAGCAGAATTGTGCTGCAGTGGATCCCGGGCCACTGCCAGATCCAGGGTAACGAGATCGCAGACCAGCTGGCAAAAATTGGGGGAAAGAAACCACAACCGGAAATTTCGCTACACCCAAAAGAAATAAAAAGAATAATTAAACACAAACAAACGCAAATGTGGTCTGTCACACACCCTCACTACATTAAAGACGACGGCTATTACAATTTAACACGAAAACAACAATACACAATCTTTCGACTCAGAACAGGCCACAACAGACTAAATCAACACATGCACAAAAAACTGAAGGTTGGGTGTAGCGAAATGTGCCCTTGTGGCAAGGCCCCGGAAAACACGGAGCACGTACTCCAGGATTGTACTCTGTATAGCCAGGCAAGAGGCAGACACTGGCCCCAGCCCACCCCACTCAGGGAAAAATTATATGGGACACCTGACAAACTGGAAACCACAGTCCGGTTTGTCCATGAAGTTGGACTTGTTGTCTAATTCCTCCACCATAATCAAAAATTAAGAACGAAGAAGAAGAAGAAGAAAGAAGATCATGGCAGCCAGCATGTATGTTGTATCTGGCATGGCCTCCTTGTGTGTTGGTAGTCTGAACAGGAAACACTCTAGAAACATTCCACTGAAAGAGGAGACGATTGTTGTCATGGAAAAACAATGAGGAATTTACATGGCTCTTTGTGTTGGAAATATTACATTGAAAATGAAAGAGATAATTGTTGTCATGGAAAAACAATGAGGAATTAACATGGCTATTTGTAATGGAAACATTGCGCTGAAAAAGATGATTGGTATCTTAGAAAAACAATGAGGAATTAATATTGCGCTTTGTAATGGAAACATTCCACTGAAAGAGGTGTCATGGAAAACAATGACGAATTTCTTCATCTTCTTCTTTGTTCTTAATTTTTAATGTTGAAAGGGATTTCCTCCAATACAATTAAATATTAAATGCTCACTTTTAATCGTTCTAAAGGCCATTGACTCAAGATTTCAGCCTTTTCTTTTTGTATTTGCTTCCATTGCTGTTGTCCAACCAAAAACAAACTATAAGGCGTATAAGGCAGCAGTTGTTTGATTTTGGATTTGTCTCTCCTAGAAGAGTTGCTGTCCCCTGCTATCGAGCCCGGGAGTTAGAACTAGAGACTTTTGGGTGTAGCAACCATGAGCATTACGGACTCAACCCCAATGAAGAATTAACATTGCTCTGTGTTGAAAGCATTGCACTGAAAGAGATTTTAAATTAATGTAACTACCTCACATATTTTAACTTCTAACCCCGTCCCTATGCTATGAGAGTACAGGCAGAACCTTAGTCTCCATTCGAGGTCCACTCTAATTTTGAAACAATGGACACAAAAATAATAACAGATCCCTGACTCAATCGGTCCAATGTTTTTGTTTTAAAAATTTTCTGAGAAACTGAAATTACAATATGTAAAACAGTTCTTGTTATTCTAGCAATACTTGATAATTTTAAAAATGATTCTTTGATTTTCAATGCTTTTTCACAAGTATTCTTGTGGTTTATTGGCTGATTTTCCAGATGTTTAGCATTCCTGTGTACAAGGGAGGTAATTATGTTTCTCTAAAGATTTTCAAAAATAATTTTTGTGATTGAGATTGTGACATAACCCTGACACACTGGATAGACTTAACACTGTACTTGTTTACCTATTAAATTTTAAGTTTACTTTTGGATCACAATGTGACTAAAATTTTGGTTTCCTTTATCTTCAATACAATATAAAGTAAGACATCTTTAATGAAATCTCTTTATTGTAGTCTGCAAGTACCCAAACTTATCTCAGAAAGGAAGTAACAAACTACTTATATGGTGTGCAGTGGGTGACATACATGGTGCCGTATGTTAAGGGGATATGCTGTTTTTTTCTATTTTTTACAGTTTAAGATCTAAAGCCTTTTGAATACTTTTATCATATTTGGTATATAAAAGTAAGTATTAAATAGCAAAAAATAGGGTCGAAAACAATTTTGGTTGTCATGGAAACCCAAAAAACCTCCGCCATTTTGAATTTGTCGGTACTTTTAAAATACTAAGGCTTTTTTATTTATGCACCTATAGCAATCAAATTTAAACTGCTTATATTTCAGTATACATTAAAACTTTTGTATCGACAACTTTTTGAAATAATTACTAGAAAGAATTTTACAAGGTCTAAAAAATCGTACCCTTTTTAGTATTCAAAAGTTTCAAAATGTGTATATTAATTACCAAATACTTTTTTTCGATGAAAGCAATCACTCTTCCCTCGTGACAAAAGTTATATTTTTGCATCAAGAACATTTACTGAAAATATGGTGGCAATTGTTTAATAAATAAAAAAGTAGTAGGCTTTTTAGTGTTAAAAACCTGCGAACTGAGAAAAACAGCCAAATGTAACGAAAACTAGGTCAGGGAAGTACCATATCTGTGTAAACTGCAAAGCCGATTGTAAGCTTTAGGTGTTTCCGAGATGTTGGAAATTAAGTTTATTAGATACATGAGAAATCCAGCTTTCCAATGATGTCAAATACAATATAATGACGGATATAAAACTTTTCATAGAGAGCTTGTAAGATTGGGAAAAATTATTTTTTAATTAATAGGGTCATAAAAATCGTAATTCAAACACATAAAATATTTTTTTCTCTTTAAAGTTATTTTCTTTATACAAAAATGGACAAAGTATCCAAAAGTGCAAGAAACCCATCATGACGAAAAACAAGAAATTTTGTGATTTTTTTCCGCGCATATCCCCTTAAGGGTCCAAGACTTTTTGTGTTTGCACTTCATGGCTGTACACAAACAAAACACAGTTCTGATGGTTTAATTAAATAAATGTTTATTTTAATCTGAATGAAACAAAACATTATTGATGCAGATAAAACAATTCATTAGAGTTAACAGAATCTGTCTATGTACAACTACTAGTACATATACATACAAAAAAATCACATGGAATTAGCATACCACATGGGTTGCAAATATTTCTTTGTCATCTAATGATGTTTTTGTTTAATTTTTTGCAATAATGGCTGGTCTAGAAAATAATACATGATGGATCAATTATAATACATTAACATTCATTTACATAACGAATGCATGATCTGGTTAAATCAGAAGCTTTGGGGACCAAAAAAAAAAATGTACAACAATATTGGAATCCTGAAAAAGTTCAGATGTAATAGAACAACTTCAAAGATCCAAGTCAAAGACCAGTTTAGTGGAAGCTTTAAGATTGCTTATGGCCAAGGACACATATTGAGGTGGCAGTGAAGGTGCACAATCTGCAGACCAAACATTCTAGACTTCCAATCCACTAATAGACAACTACCCTATCCTGAAAATACTAGTTTTAACCCATGAAAAGGAAAGCTCTCGTACCATAAGTTAAATTAAAGAAAATTCTAGAACAACCAGGCGGTACCCATATATTGAACAACATAAAGAATGACTGAAATCTCACCTATACCTCAGCATAATCCACTTTGGTAGCTAAGGGAAACTACAATTTTTATTGACTTAGATCTACATGTACTGTATCTAAAATGTCATAAAACTACAACCATTGGTAAGGAGAAGAAAACAAAAATTTTGAGGTTGGCTTGAGAATATGGTCTGACCCCTCGTGTAGGAAATTGACATGAAACTGTACAGAAACATTGGGAATCCTTTATCACATAACACCAGATGGAAGTTGTATATTCAGATCACGAGCCACTTTCACCTGCAAAAACAATGGACAATTACTTCTTTAACACTATAAAAAATAAATAACTTTACAAAAGAAAACAGAATTAGAAAACAAGACATGTTGAGAGACAGCAATGAGAACTATTTCCCACTGCCAATAACCTCCACTCCCCCCCCCCCCCCAAAAAATACATATTTGTTTAATGAGAACCAATACATCATGCATGGAATTAATGACAAAGTATGAAATAAGATGTATTTTGTACTCTTGCTAGGTAATCTATAAATACAGAACAGGGTAAAACTGGTAAAATGCTGAGAATGCATATTCTCATTTGGACATTTCTTAACCATAACCCTGAATCAAGGTTAGGTTTAATGTTACAAATAGGGAAAGTCCATATTTTATTTGGGGGGGGGGGGGGGAAGAAGAAGGGAATGATGAAACCAAAGACATAAACAAGACATTAGAAGGGGAGATTACCTGGACTTCAGCAGCCTCCATTAGTGAAAACAAGTGGGCCATCTCTGCCTCAGAATTGGAAAGTTCAATAGCCTTTTTAAAAGCCTTGATAGCTTCACTCAAGTTGCCTCTGGAAATAAAAATTCAATTTAACATGGTAATCTTAAACTTTTGTATGTTCCGGCTATAACCTTATAGAAAACTACGACACCTCGCTGACAGAGCACACCTCATTCTATTTACATTTTATCATTTCAGAAAATTTAACTAGTTAGCTTTTGTATAAGAAAAAATAGAACCATTTAACAAATTCGAGTAAAATTAAAGATTCATCATAAGCAAATTATGATGTTAGTTCTATTTCAAATTCATCTTGCACAACAAGCTTATTGTAAACTAACAAAATACACAAGTAAAGAATCATCTTAAAAATCTACATCTAATCAATTTTATTTGTAATTGTTAATCTCTGGTTTTCAGAATTATTTCCCCCTCAAAGCTTTTACATCCTACACATGATTGCTATTTTAACAACTATAAAAATAATTATTACGACATAAGACCAAAGTTGGGAGTGTTGGTTTTAGTTTTAAGAGTAAAAAATTTGTAGAGCTTAAATTATAATATTTAACTCTACAACTATACATAACTGTCAGAAATTTATGAAAAATCAGTGTAAATGTATTTAACTACCATTTTTTTGACAATTCTAAGAACATTATAGTTTGGTGATAAACACAACTGTAAAGTATTCCTACCTCTGGACCTCAATAGTTCCTCTAATCTCATAAGCATATTGGCAGGTTGAGTCAACTGATAGAGCCTCATCTAAGAGCTCAATAGTTTTGTCCACTTTACCATTCCATTGCAGCATCATTAATCTGTGGAATTTAATCATAGAAAAACAAAATATACACTACAACCTATAAGCAGGTTTATGCAATGCATCTTGTGACTTTGCCTAATATCAAAACATGGACAGATCTCTTTCTATTCTTTTTCTTTATAAAACTTAAATTTGGGTTGTAAATTTCCACTTTTGTAACACTGATGCTAGATATTAATTTTAATAATCCATTCAATAAACTATTGAGTTAATGCTTGCAACCTCGACCTAATGAATGATAAAATTTAAGACATGAATTTGTTTTCTTATACAAATGCAAGCCAATATTAACTAGATAATAATTGTAGAAGCCAGTCAGGTTTAACACATTTGAAAATTAATCTTAAGATTAGGCCTTAATAAATCCATAGTTTTAAGCAAAACACTTTTCCTAAATTTTCCTTCATTTAATAATTTTGAAATTGTTCATAAGACTAAAATGAAATTCAATCAAATAATCTTGTGTTTCGCCAAAATTAAAGAATTAAATAGCTCATTTGAAGTATTTGTATCTACCCTCTATGGACCACATTGTTAGCATTCCGGGGTTGTACTTCTTGTGCTTTCTTGAAATATTTTTCTGCTTCCTCAAATTTTCCTTGATCACTTAAAGCCTAGAAAGGAGATCAAAACATCAATTTTTAAAATAGCCTATGAAAACAAGTAGTGATATACATAATATTTCTCCATAATATACCAAAAAATGGATTCAGATTTGATGGAGATAACTTAGAGGTGCACACTGCCCACCTAGAAATTGGGCAGGAAGAGAAGGTGTTGTTACTACAGATGCAACATATAAACAAGAAGTACTGGATAATACAGCTGTAATTTTAACTAGCTGAATTTAAAAAAACTCGAGTTCATGAACTGAGGGTCGCCACAAGAACCATTTAGATTTTTACATAAGGCAAAACCGTTTAGGCATTATCATAATATCACAGACTCTGTGTCAAAATCATCTATATATATAATTCTCCTCTTCGAGCAGTTAGAAAACAAGCTGCAAACGCTCTCCCTACCTCCCCACCCCTACATGGTTTTAGTGAGCTGTGTTCACTCTAAATGTTTACAAGCAGAGCCAACGATTTTAAACGTAGGGGGGGGTGGGAGGAGGGGGGGAGGGAAGGAAGGGGGGGGGGGGGTTATGGTCCTTAACGAGGTACTTATAGTGTTTTAAAGAAATATTTTCAGTGTCAGCGTTGGTACTGTCGAATTCACAAATTATGAATTATTGAAAATTAGAAACAACTAAATAGCGGCGTATGTTATGCCGCGGGCCGGCTCGTATATATATAATTCTCTTCTGGGAGCCATTAGAAAACAAGCTGCAAGCGCGCCTTACAGTCCCCTCTCTTCCTCTCTATCGCTACCACCCCCCCCCCCCACCCCCTCACATGATCTGATGAGCTGTGGTTCACGCTGTTTACATTTTACAATCATAGAGACGGATTTGGTGACGGCTATTAGGGGCAGATAATTTAGTTTGAAACGATTTTAAACTTAGAGGAGGTAACTAAGAGGAGGCTGCTTTCACGGGGTTAGGGGGGGGGGGGGGGGAAGGGGAGGAAAGGGGGGTTTAGTGTTTTTAAGCAAATATTTTCAGTGGCGGCATTGGTACTGTCGAATTCACACATTATAAATTACTGAAAAGTAGAAAAAAAACTAAATAGCGGCGTATGATACGCAGCGGGTCGGCTCGTAATATATAAAAGCCCATGTGCACACCTCTCTCTCTCTCTCTCATTCCGCAACATTTTTGAGGCTGTGTGATCAGTATGTTCAGCGATATATGGAGAACTTACAGATACAGACTTTTGTTGAAAATAAAATGTTGGATGTTTTAAATGTATAAACTAAATTTTATTTAAAGAAGGAAAATAAAAATAAAGGCATATTCGAATGTAGAAACACATTTTTAATTACGCAACAGGAAAAGTGTTGATTGTTGTCTAGAATGCAAAAAACAATGATGTCACATGTCACAACTATGGAAAGCACACAAAACTAATGGCGTCATCTTCAAATTTTAGAATATGAAGAAATGAACTATTTCATTCAAATTTGATTAGACCTATAGATTTACTTATCAAGACGTACGATATGAAATGTATACAATTTTCTCTTCCAAAAGTAATACAAATTACTTTATAAAACAACATAAATACCATTGAACAGCCACGTTTTTAACGGAATTATTTAAGTCTCTTAATCAATGTGTGCATTTAATATGGTGTTGTGTTGACTTATAATGTATATAATTTGGTTTTTCTAATAGGTACTGGTAACCTTTGTTATTTTAAATGTGCAGCACTTAAGCTATTTAGTTATTTATTTGTATATTGCGTTTTGACCAATAACTATTTTATAAATTATTTTTCTCAAACAATGATAATATTAAAATATATAGGCCTATTATTCACGTGTTATTGACGGCTAGTTGTAAAACAAAAGACAAAACCATAGACAGCCATGCTATGATTAAACTTTTGAGTGCACTCTTATTAAAACTGCAGATTTGTAGAATAATCACCATGCTTAGGAAATTTGAAAAAAATTGTTTTACCTGAGCAAACAAGATTAAAGCATCACTACATTCTGGGAATTTTTCTATTGTCTTCTCAAAACCAACTTTGGCATCGGATAGGAAAGTGAGATTTTCACTAACAATTGCCTTCCTATGAACTGAAAAATTATTGAAAGACCATTGGGTATTTTGTTAAAATTTATGCTAAGTAGTAAAAAAAACCCTCTTTTGTTGTCAAAAGGACTTATGGAACTAATTCAATAAGTATCATACCTGCATAATACTTCTGAACATATGATGTTGGAAAGTTGGGGGAAAGCTCTATGCTCTTGTCAAATTTGGCAATAGCCTCGTCCAACTTTTCTAGCTGTAGCAATTGCTAGGGAGAAATAAAAATTGCATAAAAAAATTAAATTATTATGATAAATTCTGTAAAATAAAATACTTTTTAGATTAGTGATATTTGGCCTGTGTTAGCATTAAAGGAAACTGCAATACACATCACTGAAAGTTAATAATTGAAGTGAATAGCAAAGTGAAGTTTCACAGAAACAGATAAAGATACTAGGAGTTTTGAGTGACTAAACACTGAGACTAACCTGCCCATAATGATGGTACACATCTGAGTTTAGGGGATCAATTTTTTCAGCTTGCATAAAATAGGACAGTGAGTCATCGTTGGATTCTCTTTGCATCCGCAAACTACCTTCCCTGATTAGAGCTGTTGCGCGTAGCTAGGATAAAAAAGGAAAGAATACCATAAGTAACAGATATAAATCACATCTTACTGCTAAAAATAAGAAAAATAAATTTTAAAAGAACGGAACAATTTTCAGTAAATTACAGCCTATATATAAATGACCAATAATTACCGCTTTATCAACATTTTCCATCTTTGCAAGACGGCTGAGATCATCAAGAGCACCATTGGTAATACCATGCAACAGTCGCATAGTGCCTCTTAGGAGAAGTGTTTCTGGGATGTATGGAGAGTTTGTTTCATTTGCTAATTCCTCATCACACAAAGCTATGATTTGATCATATTCTTTGGTTGTCAAACAGTTCTTAGCTCTTTCAAAAGCACTGAAATGTGAATAAAATACAATACAGCTTGTCATATGGTAAACATTAATTATATCTTAAGGTAAGAACACATGCAAACTTCAGGACTAAAAAATGAGTTGAATTACAAAAGAAGAAAATCTAATAAAAGGAGGGCTTTAAAATTTAAAAATCCATATTTAAACATGACATGATCTAGACAGAAAATGTTTCTAAACAATTATTTTATAATATTGATGAGTTATACAGCTGAAAAAATTTTTTGCTAAAAAATAAGAAAGCTATAACAAAAGTGTATTATCAGTCCCTTATTGCTTCATCCATGTTTCTGTGTTTTTAATATTTTGCTACAGCTTTCACTTGCAATATTCCTATATTTATTAGTTCTTTTAACAATAAATCTGCAGCCTGGCAGTTCATAGAGAAATTAAAAAGTGATCTTGTTTCTAAGTTAAGGAATTAACAAATGCAAAAGGCTTTTACTCTCAAGGATCTTCTTCTTCTTCTTCGTTCTTAATTATTAGTGTTGAAGGAGGTCGAGATTTATCTGCCAGTGGGTTTGAACTCAAGACTTTGTTCGAATTCATCAACCATGAGCTTTTTGCCGACTCGACCACGCCTCCGACACAATTAAGCGTTACTTGTCAACTGGTTATGCGCCATTGAGGCCATTGACTCCGATTTCAGCCTGCTTTTCTTTTTGGATTTGCTTCCATAGCCTTTGTCCAACCAAGAACAAACTACAAGGCAGCAGTTGTTTAATTTTGGAGTTGTCTCTCCTAGAAGAGTGGCTGTCCCCAGCTAACGAGCCTCATCTGCCCGAGGGTTCGAACTCGAGATTTTTCGGTTTAGCAACCATGAGCTATACCGACTCGACCACGCCGACCCCCACTCTCAAGGATAAATCTATCAACTACAGATCCTTCCAGGTAAAAATCTAAACAAATAATCACAATTTTAACACTGAAAATTGTTTAACAACCAAACAACATGCACCAAAAAAAAAAAAAAGACATAAGATAGTTCAAAACATGTACAAATAAACATACCTTGGTTTTTCTAAAATGACAGCACCATTCTCCCCAATCTCTTCTTGTTCTGGCTTGATCTTAACACCAAGCTCGTCATATTTTGCAGGTTTTTCACCATTAAACCTTAGTGCCACAGGATCGTTAACAAAGCCTGCTAGGTAATTTTCTATATAGAATTGTGAGGGATGTATAGGCTTTTTAACCTAAAATATGAAAGAGCAATTGTGTTAATAAAATACACGAATGCAAACTGTAAAAAGTTAATTTTTAGTACAAGCTACTTAATTATAATATACAAAAAAGTATGTGCTTTTTGTGATTTAGCTAAGTCTAAAAGTGGAGATCTTAACATTTTTTAAATAATTTCTAGAACTCATTAGAAAACGAAAAACATGAGAAAAAAAATTGAAGCATTACATCCAACCTTATATTCTTGGGAAGCCTTGAATTTGCCTAAAGCTTTTAATACCCTGTCTGCTGCTTGTAGGTAGGCAGCACTTTGGAATCCCTCAATCAGACAAGCCTTTGTTATATCTTGATTGAACAAAAACAATGTTCATTTAAACATCTTCTATGGAAACTTTAAAAAAAAAAGTACCTAAATGATAATACATTAACGATAATATACCTTCGAGTGCCTCTCTGTACTTTTCAAGTGTTTCATAAGCCTTTGAACGCCTTGCTAGAGCTTTGGAATACTTTGGATTTAGCTGGAGAGCAGCTGTGCAGTCTTCAACCACTTTATCGTACTTTTTCTGTGAACATCATAAAAGAATGTTATTTCAGAATTTTAATTGCCTTAAAAAAGCAATTAGATTTATATAAACAGAGTATAGGGGGACAGCATAGTTGAATGGTAGAGCCTTTTGCGTTCGGATCTTTGTTTTGCCTTATGAATGGTGGATGTCCTAGAGTCCACCAAGCTCTGATGGGTAACTGACATGTTGGGGAAAGTAAAGGTGGCTAGGCTTAGTGCCATGGTAAAAATCTATCCAAATGGATTTCTAGTTCTAAAGAGGAATCTTTTTTTTTTAGCAGTGTGTGAGCTATGGGTTTTTAAAATGGCTGAGTTCTGCATGTTCAACAAATGAATATAATCAATAGTATAATTTTAATTCAAATTCAGTCAAGTTTTATTATGGAGAAATCCTACTAACCTGATTTTCATATGCTGCTGCTCTGTTTTGGTAGAAAGTGGACATATCAGTTTTAATATCGGGCGGACAGGTCTTGATTGCTTCTGTGTAACAGGTAATAGCCTCTTCATAACAACCATCTTTAAAAAATTTGTTGCCTTTATTTTTTGCTGCTTGAGCAATATCCTGGCGACTCTAAAATATATAATGAATTTTTTTTTGTAAAATTGACAAATTTTCAAAAGAAGACAAAAAATATATTCTATGGATTATTGCTTTAAAGTCAATAGGCATTTTGGTAAAAAAAATTCTTATTATCACAGAATGCTAGAATTTAAAGTAACATAGCTAGTACACATATAACTTGTGAATATCAATGCTAACCCTATCCCTACCTTATGCCTTACGTAAACTTTTAAATTTTGAAGCTACAACCCCCCACCCCCCACCAGAAAACTGATACTTTTAGTAATGAAAATGGTTCGCCTTAATTGCACACCTAATTTCATATGTTATACAACTTTCTTTACTAGGTAATTTAGCTATCATAGAGATATCCTGTTAGTTATGCTTTTGAAAAAATTTTGCATAATCATAAACATATTCGTTATGGGTCGATATAATCTGGGAGCTAATTATTTTATAGAAATAAAAGATAAAATGCAGTTAATAAATATAAGAGGCCAGTGTGTTAATCCTTCCCCCAGACATCAGTATAGTAGCTTTGTCTTTGAGGGCGTGGTGGTGTGAGTCTGGCAGAAGCCTCTAAATTCATGTTCGATGAGGTTTAAATTACACCATGGGTAAAGAGAAATCTGGGCAGATATCCAAGACAGTTTGCTCAACTATTATCACATCTGTATCCTAAATCATCCCTTAAACTTAATGATAAGCCTAACGGGCCTAAAAGTAGTATTGCTTGCTACCCTGGAGGCGTGGCAGGTTGCTAACAACAATATGGCGTACAGTGTACAGACCGAATTCAAGACATCTGATGAGTTTTCATCTTAGTTCCAGTGACCTTCTTAGAATTACTTTTAAAAATGTTTACCACAAGCAAAACGGCAGGTTTTTACATTACAAAAACAAGCTATAAATATGCTAGATAAAATACTTAAAAAAAAACTTTTTAAAAAACCACGTTTTGCTTGTGGACTAAAAAGTAGAAAATAACTATTTACATACATTTGATGACAAAAAACGTGGGTACGTTCACCATCAAATTTCCCGACCCATCTGCCCGACCCACGTTTTTTGTCATCAAATGTATGTAAATAGTTATTTTCTACTTTTTAGTCCACAAGAAAAACGTGGTTTTTTAAAAAGTTTTTTTTAAGTATTTTATTTTCTCCTTTTTAGTCCGTTGCTACACATGAAAAACGTGGTTTTTAAAAAGTTTTTTATATAGTTTATTTTCTACTTTATCTAATGACTTGATTAAGTATGACTTGACTAAGTGTTTATAAATACACGGACTAAAAATCTTGAGCGACCAGGATTCGAACCTGGGTTGTCGCTGCCACAACGCGAAGTACTAACCACTATACGATCACGGCCAGCGCGCTCACATCGATTGGGGCCGAAGTAACTGTGTCAATAGGCCTCCAGTCTTGTCGGTATCTTTAGAAATCATGTCCTCAATTTTATGGTCCTTAGGGCGTAATTAAATTAAGCTAATTACGGTCTCTAATTGCTAGTTTTTATGATTGCATCTGAAATTGTTAGGCGAAAGTAGCCTGCATGCCAAATTTCAGATCTATAGAGCAATCAGAAGTGGGCTAATTTTCTATGTCAATTTTAACAACAAACAAACACACGCGAAGCTGAGTTAATAAAAACGTGTTAAAATTATCAAAACAATGGACTTGAAAATCAGGTTCCAAGTCGTTGTTGCCAGAAAGCATATTTTTTTAACCAAAATTGAATATGTTATAACGTTTGAGAAATAAGTACGAAGCTGAGTTAATACAAACGTGTTAGTTAAAAAGCATTTTAAAATTTGCTTTGGAGAATGAAGGCTAAATTTAAAAGTAGGTGTCATTAAAAGTAATAGAACTTTTCTAATATCAGCACAGAGAAGACAAAAATGAATTGGAGGTTGTAGAACGATTAGGTTTATCAGTCTATGAAAAAATAAATCAAATATTGCAAGCACTTTTTTTATAAGATAAGACATCTGAATGACAACCAAATTTTTTTTTAAAACCACCTGACCGCTATTTGGTGATCACTAGTGAGCCAATTAAAAAGTCGAACCGGATTCATGGTTTGCCTTTGCCTCAAACGTAAGAGTGATATAACATGTGTTGTCATGGAGAGGTTTCGTGCATGACAGTGAGAGACAAGTAGGCCTAATTTAGTTTAAAACTAAAAACTTCAAAATTAGTGCCTAATGGGTTAAATATGGATGTCTATCATTCAGTGGTCATGTTTAAATTTAAAATTGAGTAAATTTTAGATTTAGTGAGAAGCAACAGAAAAAAGGTTGATGTGTTAAAAAAAATATCAGTTGTCAGTAGCCTACTCTTCAGCCAATGAACCTAAAACATTGAGAAAGCAATTTTCAATACTATTCAGGAGAATATTTACACCGGTGTCCGCTAATGGAATCTTCTTTAAAAAAGGGGTGTTAGGTTACTGGTAGTTAACTAACTAAATCTATAGGCCCTATAGATCTATATTTTAAACTAAACACACATGGCTGGCAAATGTCAAGTTGTCAAGCTAACCTTGTCCCTAACCCCAACCCTGGTGCTACCATACGCCCTAACCCTAATTTAAAACCATAAAAATAGTCGAGATTACAATACTACTAACAATCCAACACACCTATTTTATGGAAGAGTCTATTATCGGACACAGGTATCTATAATATAATATCCACAACTTCAAGCCGCTGTGAAGGACAACTTCACCCCCCCCCCCCCCCCTCAAAATGTCTTGATTTTTAATTGATTACAAGCGTGAATTCATAGGCTATCAATAGTTTTTACAGATCTTGACCCTTTTCTAGGCTGACAGAGCTTATGATTAAGAGGTAGATCTATATTATTTTTTAGCGTAAGTCATAAGTGTAATTTTAATAATGTGTGAGTGAGTGGTTGTGACTTGTACCTGAGGTTTTTCTTTCACGACTTTCGAGGTCGTTTTTGTTGTACCGGAAATTTCTGCATTATCACCTTGGCCGATGGAATCTTTTCCATTATCAGAATTTTTTTTATTTTTATAAAACCACAAGCCAGCAACACCCAAAGCCACTGGCGCGCCGACGTACAAGGCGATTTCCCATTTTGACCAGCCTTCCGTTAACTCTTTCAGTTGGTTGCTGACTTTAGTGAACGTCGCCATGTTGCGCGCGTGATCTCGGCTTGCAAACGAGAAGTTGTCACGTGGTAACCATACTGCTTTTCAATAAAATCAACTTACTTTTTATGGTCCAATTTTTTTATTTGTATGTGAGTGTGTTTTGAGGGAGGTTCAGGTTGGGGGTTGGGTAATGAAGTATTAGATGATAATAAAAATATTGTCATATCAGGTCTAGTGCCGCGCCAGAAACTGTTTTAGAGCTGGTTTTTAAGAATATTCCAATCTAGTTTTCTATACAGTCACTTTATTTTATTTACTGCCCCCCCCCCCCCCCCCACCCTACCTAAGTTACTTTAATTTCTGGAATCAGAACTCATAAACGTTTATGCCGACTGTTAACTTAGTAGCCTACTAATGAAAGGGTCATCCATAGAATACTTGATGAATGTGATAAAAACAACACACCTAACGGAGTCCCTACCTCTATACGTGTACACATTGTTTAACTCAATTCACTCACATGTTTAGAGTTTCTTCCGGGCATCTTCCCCCTCCCGAAAAAAGTCTACCACCCCCCCTCCCCGAACAAAATAGAAGATATTTTAAAATATATACTTTTACCAGGGTTTACCCCCCCCCCCCCCCCACACACACATATACACCGAAAATTTAGTCCGCCTCCCCCCATCCCGTTATTTTTCGTTCTTAACAGAAATATTGTAAGGGTATTCCTCCAACATAAAAAAATTATTAAGTGTCAACATTGCTTTGCGCCATAGAGTCTGTTTTTCTTTCAGGATTTGCTATTGTTAAGAAAGCTCCTTTTGCCTTTTGCCTCATCTTTGTTTTCACATTGACCTTCTCGTGGAAAAGATATTATTTAAAAATAGATCTATAGAGAAAGACTATTTCAGAGTTTCTGCTAGGCATCACTTTGGGGATGCCCCCCCCCCCCCCCGAACGAAATGGGATTTGTATAGAAAATATATACTGTCCGCCCCCCCCCCCCCCCGGAAATTATCCGTTGTCACAATACCATGACAAACAAAATATATCAACATGAGAGGCTAACGAGCCGCCGAGCCGTACGCAATTAGTGTTGTAGCCTAGATGCGCAAGGTCCATTAGTAATCACAAAGTCTCGTAGAAATTTTATTTGAAGTATTAAAGCATTTTATGATAAGACCTTAGATCTAGATCGGTGGTTCTTAAACAGAGTTTCTTCCAGGCATCTCTTCGGGGGGGGGGGGGGGGGGGGGGGGGGGGGGGAGCCCTCGAAGAAAGTCTACCCCCCACCCCGTACGAGATGTATTTTATATAGTAAACATACTTTGACTAGTGTCGTCGTCCCCGGAAAAATGTTGACCGCCCCCACCCCGAAAATTTCAAGTGCAGCCCCCCCCCCCCCCCCCCCAAAGAAAAAATTCTGGAAGAAACACTAGATCGAACCCCAGGGGTTCTGTGAGTCAGTCATAGTTAGTGCGGACCATAGAACTATATTAGGGGACGGAGTGGTCTAGCGGTAGAGAGCTGGACTGCTAACCCGTAAGTCTAGAGTCAGTAGACCGTCTCTGAGTCAACCCAACTCTGATGGGTACCTAACTCACGTTAGGGAAAGTAAGGGTGGCTGGGCATAGTGCTGACCACACTATCTCTTCATATCAGAGGCATAGCGACCCTTCCCGGCGCCCGGGGACAAACTTTTCGATTTGCACCCCCCTCCCCCCTCAAAATTTCGATTTGCACCCCCCCCCCCCTCAAGATTTCGATTTGCACCCCCCTCAACCTTTCAATTTATGTTTCCAACCCATTTTGGCGACCCCTAAGGTCGTCGCCCGGGGACATATGTCGGCCCCGCCCCGTCCCCCCCCCCCCCCCTCGCTACGCTACTGCTTCATATGTCGAGGTCACTGAAACCAGTGAACTCTATTTCGCTTGCCCTATAGACCGTCAGGTTTGAAAGGGGACTTTACTTAATTATTTATAGAACTATATTAAGAAGGGTTTGGTGAATGCGTATATGCAACACTTCCTTAGACCTAGCTCCAGTCTTTTTTCTAACACTTACATTGATGCCGGAAAGAAAAACTCTGGAAAGTGATGGTTCTTACTCCAGCAGGACAGATAACTCTGAAAAGTGATGGTTCTTACTCCAGCAGGACTGATAACTCTGGAAAGTAATGGTTCTTACTCCAGCAGGACCGATAACTCTGGAAAGTGATGGTTCTTACTCCAGCAGGACCGATAACTCTGGAAAGTGATGGTTCTTACTCCAGCAGGACAGATAACTCTGAAAAGTGATGGTTCTTACTCCAGCAGGACAGAGAACTCTGGAAAGTGATGGTTCTTACTCCAGCAGGACAGAGAACTCTGGAAAGTGATGGTTCTTACTCCAGCAGGACCGATAACTCTGGAAAGTGATGGTTCTTACTCCAGCAGGACCGATAACTCTGAAAAGTGATGGTTCTTACTCCAGCAGGACTGATAACTCTGGAAAGTGATGGTTCTTAGTCCAGCAGGACAGAGAACTCTGGAAAGTGATGGTTCTTAGTCCAGCAGGATAGAGAACTCTGGAAAGTGATGGTTCTTACTCCAACAGAACATTACACTTTTAAAATGATTTTTACATCATCTTCATATCTTTACGTTACATATCGGAGCGAAAAGTCAGACTCCCCAACTAAAATTACATCTCACCTGTGCAGCCACCCCCCCCCCCATTTTATTCACTAATCATATATGGCGCATAACAAGTTGACACGTAATACTTGTGTTTCAGGAAATCCCTCAATACGTTAAAAATTAAGAAGGAAGAAGTTTCTAACATTAATTTTACAATACAAAAGCATGTCGTCACACTTTGACCCCCCCCCCTCCCCTTGTTTCACCTCGTCAGTCATCGAAAAGAAATTCCTCCTCCCCGTCGTCCCCCCCACACACACACACTTCCAATGTGTCGCGGTTTTAATGGGCAGACCCCTAGTATTCTAAATTTTCAGTACAGGGCGTCCTATTAGTGTGTGGAGTGTTTGTTTTGATAAGTTCTTTAAGTTGGACCTTATAAAATTATCATCACCTCTGTCTTCAGCGCGCAAGATCGCGTTCAAAACGCGTATCCGTTTGGTGCGCGGTGGTTCAAAACGAATGCGCATCCTGTGTTTGACATCACTTCCTTCCCATCAACATATTGAATATATTTTTGTACCTGCGCAGAAAATAGTGACGTAGAATACATGATAAACAGCTTGCAAAGATTTGAAATATTTAGTTTTAATTTTTTAAAAAAAATAGGAAATTTAACATCAATCCATGGCTCCCCCGTTGGCGAAAAAAGAAAAAGCTAGAAAACCATCCAGTACGTCTGATCCATGGATCGGTTCTCGACTTGTGGAGGGGCTGAGAGAAAGTATATTTATGGAGTACTTAACCGAAAAGGACGTGGCGTTGGTTATGTTCTACGACCCAAAGGAGGGAATGTGTGACTGGTCGAAGAAACATTTTCTGAAGGTTAGTGTTTTGTTTAGGCTTTTTATCGGTAAGCTCTACCTAAGTAGGTCTATGTGGTTAAGGTAGTGTTTAAACCAAAAGCTGAGCCCTAAGCTTAAACTGGGTGTTTATTCATTAAATCCAAAGAACTAGATACTATTACTACTATTACTACTAGATTAGAGATAGATCTAGATCTAGAATCTAGTAATATCGCCGGAGGTGTAATCCTTAGTACATCATTTAATTGTAAAAGGAAAGTCCCCTTTTCAAACCTGACGGTCTATAGCCCAAGTGAAGAAGAGTTCATTTGTTTCTGTGACCTCGGCATATGTAGAGATAGTGTGGTCTTTTCGAACTCCTGCTGATGTCACTATGTATGTATCGGTGACACCTCTCCCATTAAATCAGAGTTTCTTCCAGGCATCTCTTCGCCCCCCCCCCAACGAAATGGAATTTATATAGAAAATATATAGTTTCAAGTGTTCCCCCCCCCCGGGAAATTTTAGTCCGCCCCCCCGAAAATTTCAATTGCCCCCCCCCACCCCCTGCTCTCCCACCCCCCCCCCCCCACCGGATAAAGTCTGGAAGAAAAAGCATCAGCTCCATCAGTTGTGTGAAGAGCGGGGGGGGGGGGGGCTGATACATGGGCAACATCTGGTTGTTCTCAACTCACTGCCGCGGTTTCGACGTTTTGGTTTCCAAGTCTCCATTATCAAACATCTATCAGACTCAACATTTGTCACTACTGCAACTGTGAAACACATAATGTGGTTTACATCTTGCAGTGAATTAATGTGGGATCATTTCCGCTGGGCAACTTTGTAAACGACAGTCTAACTGGTAAAAAATGTCCCTGGGCGTCGACCTTAGGGGGCGCCAAAATGGGTCGGAAAAAGTAATCGAAAGTTTGAGAGGGGTGGAAATCAAAAGTTTGAAAGGGGGGGGGGTGCTCAAAACGAAAGATTGAGGGTGGGGGGTGCAAATCGAAAACGTTTGTCCCCGGGCGCCGGGAAGGATCGCTACGCCTCTGCTCAGGGACAGACTATTGGCTTGAACAAAGTCAACATTGAGAAAAAACGAAGACAGTCATCTTGCTGCTAAAAATAGTAAAATAATGTCATAGTATCAAAACTTGACTGAACATTGAAACATGTCTCATACTTCATTTGACTCTCGAGAACGTAATGGTTTAAATCAGTGGTTCTTAACCTTTTGGAGGTACCGTACCCCGCCAGGGTCATATTCGCATTTACCGAACCCTTCCTAATAGTTCAATCTCCCGTACTGATAAAATCTGATCGCGAATCATATGAGTCGGGTGTGTCTTGACCTTCGCCAAACCCCAGACACGGACTCACCGAACCCCAGACACTGACTCACCGAACCCCAGACAAGGACTCACCGAACCCCAGACACTGACTCACCGAACCCCAGACACTGACTCACCGAACCCCAGACAAGGACTCACCGAACCCCAGACACGGACTCACCGAACCCCAGACAAGGACTCACCGAACCCCAGACAAGGACTCACCCAACCCCAGACACTGACTCACCGAACCCCAGACAAGGACTCACCGAACCCCAGACACGGACTCACCGAACCCCAGACAAGGACTCACCGAACCCCAGACAAGGACTCACCCAACCCCAGACACTGACTCACCGAACCCCAGACACTGACTCACCGAACCCCAGACAAGGACTCACCGAACCCCAGACACGGACTCACCGAACCCCAGACAAGGACTCACCGAACCCCAGACAAGGACTCACCCAACCCCAGACACGGACTCACCGAACCCCAGACAAGGACTCACCGAACCCCAGACAAGGACTCACCGAACCCCAGACACTGACTCACCGAACCCCAGACACTGACTCACCGAACCCCAGACACTGACTCACCGAACCCCTGACACGGACTCACCGAACCCCAGACACGGACTCACCGAACCCCAGACACTGACTCACCGAACCCCTGACACGGACTCACCGAACCCCTGACACGGACTCACCGAACCCCTGACACGGACTCACCGAACCCCTGACACGGACTCACCGAACCTCTGACACTGACTCACCGAACCCCTGACACTGACTCACCGAACCCCTGACACTGACTCACCGAACCCCTGACACTAACTCACCGAACCCCTGACACAGACTCACCGAACCCTGACACGGACTCACCGAACCCCTGACACTGACTCACCGAACCCCTGACACTGACTCACCGAACCCCAGACACGGACTCACCGAACCCCAGACACTGACTCACCGAACCCATGACACTGACTCACCGAAACCCTGACACGGACTCACCGAACCCCAGACACGGACTCACCGAACCCCTGACACGGACTCACCAAATCCCGGGGGTTCGATCAAACCCAAGTTATGAATCACTGGTTAAAACGAACAGGTCAAATCTCATCTTTGTTCGTACATTCTTAAAGCACCTCTTAATTTTGATACTGTATCCTTAAGAACAGTGTTTCTTTCAGACTTTTTTCTCTGGGGGGGGGGGGGGTATACTTGGACTAAATTTATTTTCGTGGGAAGTGGGCGGACACTGGTAAATGTAAATATTTTTTATATAAATTCTAGTTCGTTCGGGGGGTGGGGGAGGCGGTAGACATCACCCCTCCCCTACAGAGACAGATACCTGGAAAAAAATCTGCTTAAGAAAATACGTGTTTTCACTGTCAAGCTTGGGCTAAAATAGTGTCGCTAGCTTTTATGTTTAGTTTGTTTTACCCACCCAGTTGTGAGTTGATAAAGCCTTTGAGACTTAACGTCCAATGTACCAATGCAACGATAACTACATTAGGATAGTAATATTTTTAAAGAGAACTTCAGATAAAGATACCCGCGAAGATAACTTTGTTAGGATTATGATGGCTTCAAAAATGACATGTCGATGTTTTGTATTTTTACCGACAACTTTTTGTTTTGTTTTTTGCAGTTTCGTATTTAAGGTCTTTAGGTAATAGTTGCGCTTAGAATCTGGAATATATTCACGCAGTGGCGTCGCTAGGTCGAGTGTCAACCGGTGCTGCACTTCGTGGTGTCACACCCCCCCCCCCTAAAGAAATAAAGTATATATATATATATATATATATATATATATATATATATATATATATATATATATATATATATATATATATATGTGTGTGTGTGTGTGTGTATGTGTAGGCCTATAATTTAAATATATGTCACATATGCGTACATGTATGCTAATAAGCTTTAATCACTGTAGACTTAATAGTAGTGATGTTTATCTATAGTCTATCTACAGTTGGATGTAGCATTGTTTTCTCTATAGTTTGCACGTTTACATCCTTGTGTCACTCCACCATCTTGTAATAATTGTCAAGTTGTACTTAAAACTCTATTTAACTTTAATTAATCCTTAATGCATCAGGCTAAAAAGCCTTTTTCTTCAGTACATTTTGCAATTTTTTCCATTGGTGACACCCCTTAAAAGGTGTCACCCGGTACGGTCCTCTCCCTCTGCCCCGCCCACGCTACGCCTCTGTATTCACATCTATTGCAAGTGGGTAGATGATACTACCAGTCCTTTGGTTATTACCTAACTGCTATTAAAGAATTAAATTACGTTTGTGCTAATTTATCTCCACCCCATAGTTTTTTCACCCCAATACTCGAGAATACCTATTATAGATAATATCTTACCATTATTCAGGTGTACATGATACAACGGTAAAAGTAAAATAAAGTTCCCCTTTCCAAACCTTGACGGTCTATGGGGCAAGTGAAGTAGAGTTCACTTGTTTCTGTGACCTCGGCATATGAAGGGGCAGTGTGGTCAAAACGATTCTTTATTTTTATGGCTGTTTTATTTGGCTCGTTTCAAAAGATGTAGATGAAGCTAAAAACGGTATAAACTAAAAGTTCGTAATTCGAGATACAAAACCTGTCTTTAAACTAAAAAAAAAGACCAATAACTAAATAAGTTCGTAACCCGAATTGCAAAAGCTGTTATTAAACTAAAAGTTCCAATCCCGAGTTACTAACCTGCTATTTTAACAAACGTTCGTACATCGAGTTACATTATCATCATCATCTAAGATTTGTTTACATTAGAATCATCATCATTCATGATTTGCTTACATTAAAATTATCATCATTCAGCATTTGCTTACATTAGAATTATCATTATTCAGGATTTGCTTACATTAGAATTATCATCATTCAGGATTTGCTTACATTTGAATCATCATCCTCATCTAAGATTTGCTTACATTAGAATTATCATCATTCAGGATTTGCTTACATTAAAATTATCATCATTCAGCATTTGCTTACATTAGAATTATCATCATTCAGGATTTGCTTACATTAGAATTATCATCATTCAGGATTTGCTTACATTAGAATTATCAACATCATCTAAGATTTGCTTACATTAGAATTATCATCATTCAGGATTTGCTTCCATTAGAATCATTATCATTGAGGATTTGCTTACATTAAAATCATCATCATTCAGGATTTGCTTACATTAGAACCATCATTCAGGATTTGCTTCCATTAGAATCATCATCATCATCTAAGATTAGCTTACATTAGAATCATCATCATCATCATCTAAGATTTGCTTACATTAGAATCATCATCATCATCTAAGATTAGCTTACATTAGAATCATCATCATCATCTAAGATTTGCTTACATTAGAAACATCATCATCATCGAAGATTTGCTTACATTAGAAACATCATCATCATCTAAGATTAGCTTACATTAGAAACATCATCATCATCTAAGATTTGCTTACATTAGAATCATCATCATCTAAGATTTTCATCAGCATCTCTACCTCACCAGTCCTACTCTAGGTCCGAAACGATGACTGATTTTTATCGTTCAGCTGACACTTATTTGGGTGGCGTCACTCGGTTAGGTCATCCACCCCACCCCAGTTTGAGAAGCAACCAGTGTTTCTTCCAGACTTTTTTCTCCGGGGGGGGGGGGGGGGGCACTTGAAATCTTCGGGAGGGGGGGGGGGCGGTAAACTTTCTTCGGGGGGCGGACACTGTTAAAAGTATATATTTTCTATATAAATTATATAACTTTCATTTCGTTCGGGGGGGGGGGGGGGGGCGGTAAAAAATTTTCGGGGGGGGGGGAGGGGGGGGGGGGCGAAGAGATGCCTGGAAGAAACTCTGGAAGCAACTGGATCAAGTCTACGGGTACCTTCCACTGACATATTTTTGTTATTGATTTCATTGAGAAAAAAAAAATCTTTTTTTTTCCTCCCTCCTAAGGCTGCCAAGATCACAGAACGCGAAAACCACGGATACGCCGCTGTCGACTGCACCAAGGAGGCGGACGTGTGTGAGAACGAGAGCGTCCTGTCCCTCCCCACGTTCAAACTCTACTCCCGGGGCAAGGTGATGGGGACCTACACCAACCCCTTGGCCTTCACGTACCACACCATGGCTCGCTACGTCGAGAACGCCCCTGTCTTAACGGAACCTCCAAGGCCTAAACGACCATGCGACAAGGATTGAAATGGACACTAGGAAAAAAAAAACAAATAGATCGAAAAAGAGTTTCCAAAAAAGTAACAATTTTTCTAAACCCTGAATTGTTTAAAATGTTTACGATGAAGATGTGAACCATCGGAATGTAAATAAACGAATTTCACAAGTTATGGGCAAGCAACTGCCAAGAAATAGTCGCCAACTTTCAGTTAAAATTATTTCATTGTCATCTCCCTTTATTTAAAAAAATGTAAATTCGACTCACCGCTATTAAAATCGGGAGCAGTTTTTTTTTTTAATTTTATTTCTACAGCTTGAGTGAAACAAATGTTTTTTTTATGGTAAATAAAACACACTTTTCGGTTATTATGCTTTTTTTTTTGTTTCTTTTTATGAAAAATGTTTTGTTCGTGATTAATCCTACTCCAGTTAGGTTTTAAAAGTGTGTACTATATAAGTATTAACTTTTATCTACTTTAGAAGTATTTACTGTTATCTACTTTATAAGTATTAACTGTTATCTACTCTAGAAGTATTTATTGTTATCTACTTTAAAATTGTTAACTTGTCTAAAGTGTTAACTGTTGTCTACTTTATTAACTTGCCTACTTTATAAGTGTTAACTTGTCTACTTTAAGTATTATCTTGTCTACTTTATGTGTTAACTTGTCTACTTTAAGTATTATCTTGTCTACTTTATAAGTGTTAACTTGTCTACTTTATAAGTGTTGACTGTTGTCTACTTTATGATTATTAACTTGACTACTTTAAGTGTTAAGTTGTCTACTTTATAAATGTTAACTTATCTACTTTATAAGTGTTGACTTGCCTACTTTATACGTGTTAACTTGTCTACTTTATAAGTATTAACTCGTCTACTAAATAAGTGTTAACTTATCTACTTTACAAGTGTTAACTTGTCTACTTTATAAGTGTTAACTTGTCTACTTTATAAGTATTAACTTGTCTACTTTATAAGTAATAACTGTTGCCTGTTGTTAACCTTACTGTTGTAAATGCCATGAGTACCTATAAGCGATGCTTGCCAAGTATAGCATGTGTCAATGGTCTACTGGTGCCAGATACAGGCCCGGAACTACAAGTTGGGGATCCGTGACCTACTCACTAAATGACCTACTACAACAAGGTGTTGACCTACTAACTCCATATGCTGACCGACTACCTGAAGCTAATCACCTACTACCTCCATACGTTGACCTAGTTGTAGCTGTTAACCTGCTAGTTGAAGCTGTTGACCTACTACCTCCATACGTTGACCTACTATTTGTAGCTGTTGACCGATTAGTTGAAGCTATTGACCTACTAGTTGAAGCTGTTTATCTATCAGTTGAAGCTGTTGACCTACTAGTCGTAGCTGTTGACCTACGAGTTAAAGCTGTTGATCCATCACTTGAAGCTGTTGACCTACTAGTTGAAGCTGTTGATCTATCAGTTGAAGCTGTGACCTACTCGTTGAAGCTGTTAGTCACCCTACTGCAGTTAAAAAAAGTTTAGTTACGTGTCTTTTGAATGAAGCTCGCCTAGAAATCAGTTACAGCTTTTGAGTTAACCCGGATGTAAAAGATGTCACCATACTGGCTTGGGGGGGGGGGGGGGGAGGAGAGACAAGTTCGTGAAGGACGTCACTCACCTATGGACTACAGCATCTTCTATGGTGCTATGGCATGTGGCGTAGAAAAAGTGAAGTAAAACGTTTTTTGTTGTTGTTTTTTTTTTTTTTAAATTTTTAAGAAAAATAAAAATTATGAAAAAGTTTTGAATTTAGGTTAGTTTAGTGGGGTGGATGTAGCTTTCATGGGGAAGGGGTTGGGTCGGGTTTAATATTTTCACAGCGTGTGTGTTAAAAAATGGTTAAAATTTCATGACGTCATTGACGACTAACCCGTTTCCATTGTCGTCGATGTAAAAATTAAGGCTAGAGAAACTTTAGCTAAATATAGGGAAAAAAACAGTCTTCATGTCATGAACTAAAACTTATGACTGTGAAAATGTGACGAATGACTGCAACTAATTAAAGTAAAAATTTCCCTTTTCAAACCTGACGGTCTATAGAGCAAGTGAAGTAGAGTTCACTTGTTTCTGTGACCTCGGCAAATGAAGAGATAGTGTGGTCATCAATATGCCCAGCCACCTTTGCTTTCCCTAAAGTGATTTAGGTACCCATCAGAGTTGGGTGGACTCAGGGACGGTCTACTGACTTGAACTTGAACCCGGATTCGAACTCCCTCCCTAGCAGATGATAACTTGTGACAGCTTCCTGTTATGGCAAAGTGACTCAAAGCTGATATGTTATCTCAGATTTTAAAGTCCAAGTATTTAACATCCTTCTTGCTGATGAATACGACACAAAGGTCAAGGCCAAGGGCATCACCCCCCCCCTCCACCAAACATCACACGCCCCTGGCTCAATATCCTCCATGTAATTACACCCCTATTTATAATACATGAGGCAGATGAAGTAGAGTTGATCTGCTTCAGAGACCTAACGTGAGCTGGGGGTGGACACAGTGACATTCTACTATACACCTTATATATATACATATTATATTTAACCTATCCGTGTCTATCTCTAAATGAAGGGAGATAATTAACAAGGATGTTCTACTATAGATCTAGTTATTTTAATCGGCAAGGGTCATAACAGATCATTGGAAGGGGGGGGGGGGGGGGGTGAGGTGAAATACGGGGGGGGGGGGGGGGTTTGATATGTCTTGTGGGGGACCCGGTTGATTGTTTTTATTACTGGGTTTACGTATGTGTATACATGGGGGTTTTGCGTGTGTGTTTGAATTTATGTTTTGATATCTTGTATTTGTGTGTGTGTTTTAACTGAATTGGTACGTCTATGTTTGTTTGCTTGTGTGTCCTTGCGTCTGTGTTCTTGACTTGAGCGTCTGTGTTCTTGACTTGAGCGTCTGTGTGTGAATGTTGTCGTGGGTGTACACACTTAGTCAATTCGGCAACCCTTCCGTCAGTAGCCGCACCTAAACGCACCCCCCCCCCCCACTCTTTCGCTACGTCGGCCCTGGTATTAGCTTCCAGTCATAGATTTCGACATAAGTAACAAGCAGTGGCGTAGGCAAAGGATGTTGGGAGGGCTAGAACACCCCCATGACTCCCATTAAAGCTAGAAATGACAACTTACCCACGTTGTAGTATGTATGCTTAATTCTTCAAAATTTAGAATAACATAATATACATGTATATATATATATATATATATATATATATATATATATATATATATATATATATGTGTGTGTGTGTGTGTATGTGTAGGCGTATATTCAATTTATTTAATTTTTTAACAACCCCTCTTTCCGCCTCCTCCCCCCCCCCCCCCCCCACACACACACACCCTTATACTGCCTGGTCCTACCTAGGCTACTCCACCACGCATACAGTACGTTAACTAGCACAAGATTCCTGCTTTGTCCGTGGTTCTATTTAACATCTAAAGCCTCCAACCGTCATCGTATAGCTGCTCATAGACCGTATCACACAGGATCGCTATACAGAAATTCGGGTAAGATTTTTTTTCCCCATTTAACTTGTTGCAATGGGACTCAGTCTGGAATAGGTAAGTAACTATCACATTAACATGGTTGTGGATTTTTAATTTGGGTTAGGACAGTGTATACACTGTATTGTTTGTTAGATTCATCTTTTTTTTTTTAAACTGTGTAATTCATTTTGTATAATGGATCTTTGTTGGACTGTGAATTCAGCTTTATTCAGGGGCGGAACTACCATGCCGCCAGACCCCGCAATGGGGGGGGGGGGGTGTGGCAGGACTTTAGGGGGCCCAATTCCGACCAAAAAACAATGCATTTAGTTTTCATTTAATTTTCATAAATAATGTTTTTGTTCACCATGATAGTGGTTTTGTAAAAAAAAAAAAAAAAAAAAAAAAAAAAATTAAAAAGATCTACTGTAGCAGTAATTGTTCTACAGTAACTAACACACACTGTTACGTAGGAAAATATTTTTAAAATCTACACGAACTGTAGTTTGAAAGATAGGCAAACTCTCTGACTACTTCCATGACTTACTGCCCTTCTTTAAAATTGGGGTGCCAATAAAGTTCATTTGAATAGTTTTGTACTATGTAAATTAAAAAGCAATTGATTCTCTTATTTAATTTTTAATTATATCATACTATAGAATTGTATAGATATAAAAATCAATATATTCAAAATTAATAATATAAATATAAAAAATCATACAAATAAACATAACGCGAGAAACCATTGCACAAATCAAGCTTGCGAGTTTATATACCTTTTTCCTGCCTTCTTTTATAATCGGATATTTTTACTTAGTTTCAGTAAACATATAGGCCCTATCAGCCATAAAAAAAAATAAGTAATTGAAAATGAGTGGCTACCCAACCCTTCGTCCTGAGCCAAATTCAAGCAAAGTTATTGATCTACCTCAGCGGTCGGCAACCTTTTCAGCCGGAAGAGCCAAAAGTTACAATTTACAACATTGCCCGGTTTTTAAAGAGTTATATGTCAATAGTATATTTGTTTAGTATATATATAATCCTAAACAAATATATAAATAATTTAAAATAAATAGCTTTGAATATATGAGATAATCTCATTTGATTTTGTGTTGAGAGGATCTACTATGTAAGTCAGAGTACTTGCATTTGTTTTGAATAACTCAAATTCAAATCTCTCACTGAAAACACCCTTCACTCTGTTTATATTAATGCTGAAGTGATTGAATAGTAGCATTGGTTTCATAAGGATATTTTTTTTTCAGATTTTTCGCAATTAAGTAATTTACAGCTCACCATGTCATGTATTCAACAAAAAAAGTTTTTTTTTTCGAAACAAACCACTTCTTCAATAGGCTAGATCAGGGGTCTCCAAACTTTTCAGTCCGAGGGCCACATTAACCATTAAATTTCAATTCGGGGACCAGTTTCTTCCAGGTATGTCTTTGATTTTTCTGGGCAAAGTTCCTCAGCCATCACCAACCAACGTTTTTTTTTTCCGTGGACAAAAAGATCTCCGCGGGCCGGATGAGAGGACATCTCAGAGGACAACGCGGGCCGTAGTTTGGAGACCCCTGGGCTAGATTTTGCTTTCAGTTTTACACTTAACTGGTTTAGTTTCTTTGTGATATCCACTATGAAGTTGAATGTTTCAATCCGGAATGGACAATGTAATAGGAAGTACATTGAAGTACATTGAAAATAGGGAGTAACTAAATATTGTAATATAATAGTGACGTTTATTGTTTATATCTATTGTTATATCGTTTATTACCGAGTGTTGCAGACTTATATTTTTATGAGTTTTGGAAATAAAATAATTATTAATATTTGTGCATGG